ATAAATTAATAAATTAGCATTCAAAAAATGCTAAGTGTTTGGTTAGGGGGAATTTTTTTCCCAAAAAGATATTTTTGCAAAGGAAAATTTATTTCTAGTGAATAGTCATTATCTTGTAATAGAATCAATAATATAAAAAAATGTGAGACATTGATAATGCTAATTTTAACAATTTTTAATGATGTGTTTGTAGTATAATTTTTTTAGAAATATTTGTACTAAATAACACTTAAATTGTTTTATTCTCTAAATAATACTTAATAATGTTCAGAAGAAGAAATAGTGACCAGTGATGATGAACATTTACTTGAATAATGACTAAAAGTGCTATATTAGAAAAAAACAAATACTCCCTCCGTCCCAAAAAGTTTGTTACGTTTAGAAAAAAATGCGTTCCGTAAAGTCCGTTACATTTCTATTAAAAAACCACTTTTACCCCTTACTTTTTCATACCCTACCTATCACATCATACCTTTTTCCTAATAATCTACCCATCACATCCTACTTTTACCCATCACATCAAGGGTATTTTTGGAAAGTCAATACCAAAATATCCCTCCCTTAATTTCCCAAAAAGTCAAACCGTCCCATTTTTTTTTGGAACGGAGGGAGTATGATGTTATTTAGAGAAAGTCATTATGTTTTAGTGTTATTTAGGTAAATTCTTCTTTTTTTAATGAAGTTTGAAATATCCCAGACCGGTGAGACCGCACACCAAATAGAGTTTAATTTTTATAATTTTTTAATATACAAATTACAAGATAAAATGAAATAAAGAATTGCATTGGATAGTGTGCCAAAAGATAAGTGGACAAACAGAGTGGGACGGAGGGAATAGTTTATAATGTCCGTAAAAAAATTTAGTGTAAGAAATGTAATTAAATACTCCGTATAAGATACCCTAAGGCCTAAACATCACAAATGACGATAATTATTGGGAAAGATTTTTTGGGATGACTTTTGCCCCAAATCATACGCCGTCATCATTTTGTAGGGTATGAATGGCGAAAAACATGTCGGCTGAATTGGTACTATTTGGGGTATATTTATTTTTGGGGGTCCTTAATTAGTGGAGACATTCAAGATCAATCCTAATGTGTACCCTAAATGTACACCACCACATTCTCCATTACATATTTTTATTTAATTTTTATTTACTTATTTTTTTAAAATTTTTTATCTTTTTTAATGGACAAGGAGGAGGTGTGGTACATATGGGGTACACCTTTGGTGTACCCCTAACATTTTTCGACATTCAATTATAGTTTTGGGAGAGGATAAGATTAGAACTCATGGGATGATTTCATGTATGCTATGTTCTATTCGTGAAATTGAAGATTTCTACGACTCTAACCTTTCAGGATACCCCTCATCCCGCTTCAACCCGAACACATCCCCCACCCCTCTTCCGAACACCCCCCACTCCAGTAAAAAATCTAGTGTTTGAATTGATAGAGAATCGTCAGAAAAGAGAAGTTTTGACATTTGAAAAGTTTTCTCAACTTGGTGTATAAGGCAAGGCTATCACTACCATCCTCACCCCCAACTCAGCATCATATCAATTTTTCTCATTTCATCCTTATTTTATTCTCATTTAGGGGTGTGGATCTTCATTCTATTCCCATTTTTAAATCTTTATTTTTACATATTACTTTCATCTTGTTTCATATAATTCTCCAAATGAAATTAAAATACAATTTGAAATTAAAAAATGAAATTTGAAGTTCTTCCAACATTTTCCAATTCTTTCCGATTTTTTTTCAACATCCAACTCTGGAATTTCAACCCGAGAGTCATTCTCGTTTGTGCAGACGCAAATTTTCAAAGAAAATAAAATGAATTGCGATAAATTAATGGAAAAGTACAAGTTTTACACTATGTTTGGTTCAAGGAATTTCGGGTGAAAAAAATGATTTCTTCTCATTTTTCTCACCAAATGAAAAAGAATTTAGTTTTCCTTCCTTTGAGTACATTTTGTCTTCTACTTTTCCTTTGTTTTTCTCTGTAACCAAACAAGAGATAGTAATTTACACTTTATTTACTTTTCTTTTCTTTTTTTTTAAAAAAAAATTTCTTGGACCAAATATAGGGTTTGTGACGGATTTGCCGGGAGGGAAGGGGAATCCGATTCAATCGAAAGGCTTTTGGGTCAAGTGTCAGCCCATGTCACACAAGTGGGCAAGTGGCACCAACCACTAAAATCCCATTAAGCTATTATTAATTGCTAAATGACAAAACTACACGTACCTCTCTCCCGCACGCCATTTTCTTTTATTATTATTAAATTCGGTTGGTTTTCTGATATAAATACACACGCCATTTGTTTGTATCATGAAGTAATGTTTCAAGTGTATATCCATGCACCATGTCTTAAAGGTTCCTATTGAGACACGTTGTTGTTTTCTTGAAGTTATTTTCGGATAATTTCATATAAAATTGGGATAAAATTATAAAATAAAATTTACATATTTAAAATATATATTTTAAAAGTTGTACAAAAATAGTGATATGACTATATTATTTTATTAAGTTTATAAAAAAATGATTAAAATTTGATCCTGTGAATAGTAAAGAGATAACTTTAATTGGGACGGATAGAATAAGAAATTTGGACTAAACAACTTTAAAAATTGTATCAAATCAATTACCTAATTCTACATAAGAGCTTTAAACTCATTACTTTTTTCAAAGTCTTGCTGCATGTGTGACTCTAATTACAACATAAATCCTATAAAATGATTGCCGCATCTCTTTCAAATAGAAAAGGAAAATACTTAGGGTGCATCTAAGTTTCGCATATGTGATTATTATCCCTGTCACACATAGAATTATCATTTATGTAAAATTTGAGTGCACCCATGATAGCAACTAATTAGGGACGCCATAACATGGTCCAAAAAAAATGGTTATGTTTATTACTAATTCACATGATCACATTATATTTTCATTAATTATACTCCTAATTCACATGGAGTATAATGTTATAGATCATTTGTTGGAAGAATATAGGCAAGTCACTTATGTACTCCTATTATTTTGTAAAATTTTTAATATATTTTTAAATATATAAATTTTAATATATCCCTAGTTTTAAAGAGCGTGAGTGCATGCGCGCCTTATTTCTTAAATATATAAATTTTAATATAACTTTTTATCAATTTTAAATAAAATGACTTCAAGCAAACAAGTATAGTACTTCCTCCGTCCCAAAAAGATTTACACCTTTCAAAAAAATTGTGTCCCACAATCTCTTACTCATTTCTATTAAAAAACCACTTTTACCCCTTACTTTTTCAAACCCTACCTATCACATCATACCTTTTTCCTAATAATCTACACATCACATCCTACTTTTACCCATCACATCAAGGATATTTTTGGAAAGTCAACACAAAATTATCCCTCCCTTAATTTCTACTTTAGTCAAAATGGGTAACACTTTATGGGACGGAGGGAGTATAATACTCCGTACTTCATAACACAATGTCAAAATATCTTGAGGAAGCCGAAGAAGCATAAGATAACCCGTGGGATCCATTGACATTAAATTTGTAGTAGCATTCCAATTACAATAAAGTTTGGTGTACACCATACCATTTGTACATTGACGGCCTGTTTGGGAATAGCGTTTGATATTACCTTTAGCGTTTTGGATAGAATTTTAACGATTCAGATTACTTTGAAAACGTTAACGCTAAACGCTGGCCGTAGATAGCCTTTTCAAAACGCTAACGCTAATCTCTGACGCTATTCCCAAACAGGCCTTAAATGTGTTACAAACACATACACCTAGAATAAGCGTCTTTATTTGCATTGCACAAACAATTATTTACAAAGTAGTGTACCACAACACAACCGGTCTAATTACGACAATAATCATGCTAGGAGTACACCAAGGTGTGTATTCTAAATTATACACCAAATGTGTATACCAACATTTTGATGGTTTACACTAACAGAGAATGTTAGTGAGATCAAAAAATTATGCACTAATATTTTATGCCAGTGTGAATCATCACAGTGACATAAAATAAAAGTGCAAACATGTAATGTACAATTTTGGATACAACTTTTGGTATGAAAGTAGTTTAATTCTTTATGCCAATTCGAAATAGAATTATTAAGGCTAAATATAAAAGGATACCTCTAACCGGGTGGGATGAGTCTTCCCAACCTAAAAACAATGGTTATTTAGGCCTTAAAAAAATTACTCCCCCTCACTTTTTACGCGATCAAACTTTAATCACTTTCTTTACCTATTTTCATTAGGTATTTGATAAAATAATATAGTCTTGTCACCACTTGTTTTGTAAAACTTTTGATGTAATTTTTAAATATATAAATTTTATTTTTTAATTTTACACTTACAATCAAATAAATTGAATTGAAAATAAAGTCGGTCAAACCTCGTAAAATGAACCGGGAAAAACATTTTGGAATAAAGCTTCTATCATGATACTATGAGGGTGTTTGGGAGTGATTAGCTTATTGATAAAGTGATTTCTACAAAAGCTGAAAGCAAAAGCACCTTATACCTGTTTCTCCGAAACGGTGTTCCATGTACAAAATAATGTTGGTGAAAAGCAGAAGCTGACATGCCAAACAGAGTAAAATCACTTCCACTCAAAGCAAAAGCTAAATTATTAAAAGCAGCGCACTGCCAAACACCCTCTATGGAAGATTATTAGAGGGTGTTCGGCAGTGCGCTGCTTTTAATAATTTAGCTTCTGCTTTGAGTGGAGGTGATTTTACTTTGTTTGGCATGTCAGCTTCTGCTTTTCACCACCACTAATTTGTACATAAAACACCGTTTCGGAGAAGCAGGTATGAGGTACTTTTGCTTTCGGCTTTTGTGGAAATTGCTTTATCCACAAGTTAATCACTCTCAAACACTCTCTTAATAAGGACAGTTTATGGGTTATGTTTTACTCCGGGCCCATCTTTACATCAATTGTTTCTGGTCATGAACATATAACCAAAGCAACAACACTCAAAGACATGTAATGACATTTGTTTTTTTCACACACTTGAAGATTATTGTCACTCTTCAAAAAAAATGAAAACCAAAGGTCATCTATTCCTAACCCTAAGCTACAACTTGTGACTTTATGAGATGCCACAAAACACACAAATAAATACAAAGACATGGAACCTTAGTGTCCACCAAGGGCAATCTAAGAAAAACCACTTAGGGTCCCTTCGCAAGAACGACCCATGGGAACCGCTCTCAAGGGGTCGTTCTTCACCTGGTTGAGACTCGCCGAATGAGAGTACCCAATGATTGGAGCCGTGGTAAGAACCACGGCTCCAGACGTTGGGCTTAGAGTGGTTGTTGTAATGTCACAACAATGGGGGAAGTCACTTGGTGGTTCCCATCAGACCACTCTATTGTCCCACTAGTCACAAGAGAGTTTCCCGGAATTAACTCTGCTTTTTCTGCTTCCACACGAACGAGAAAGTTGAGCTTCTGTCCCACCCTCCTAAATGCCAGCCTCTCCGGCTCCACGGTAACAGTCGTCCTTTTCGGGGGTTTTATCGAAACGACATAGACCGAATCGGGATCCCCCACGTTGGTCACCCTCCGAATGAAGTGGGTGGAGAGTTTGTGGCGATTGCCGTATTGTTCCAACACGGCCGAGAACGAAGGGTAGTTTATGTTCCCGACATGGCCCGCCCTTTTTGCCCCGCTACAATCGGTGTATTTTCGAGTGACGACATGGATGTTTTTCGAGGTGTAGTTTGAGTTGCATAGGAAATTGACGTAGTCGTGTGAGGTGATATCGTATATTAGGCCGGGATTCATGGCTTTCTGAGGGTGGACGTGCCCGGATCCGAAATCCATTACCGTCGAGGTGTTTCCCGTGCTCTCATCTGTTATTGTTCGGCCCCGGTTATCCACCGTGTACGCCGTCGTCATCAAGGCGGATCTAATCGCAGCTGGGCTCCACTCTGGGTGGGCTGCCTTTAGCAATGCGGCCAACCCGGAGATGTGAGGGCAGGCCATTGATGTTCCTGACAATATGTTAAATTCGGTTCTCCGGATATCTGACGGAAGCCCACTCGGCCCGATTCCGTCCGGCCAGGCCGCAAGGATGTTCAAGCCAGGCGCTATCACGTCTGGTTTGAGAATTTCCGGCGTCACCGGATTCGGGCCACGGGCCGAGAATGAGACCAAAACGGGTGCGGGCCGAACATTGACCCGAGTTCCTCTAAAATGGATGGTAGCGGTGGGTAGGGATTTTGTTTTTGATCCGGCGGCTATGTATTTTCTAATTTCCTCACCGGCGGCCGCTCCCACCGCCGTTGCCGGTAACACGTGGCAGTCTGCGACCAATCCTTCCCCGTCAAATACTCCGTTTGCTAGAATCATCCCGATTCCCCCGGCTTTTTTAACCGCTTCCCCTTTGGCAACTCTTGAATTGATTCCTCTGTCGCAGACCACAATTTTCCGGCCGACGATTCTCGGGTCTAACGATCCTTCAAGACACAGTGAAGACGAGTACCCGCCACTTCCGACGCTGCCGGCATAGACTAGCGGGTGGAGCCGGTGCGGTGCTAAAGCTGGACCGCCGTAGACGCTGACTCCGGGGAGGACTTTCCCGTTCCCGAGCTGTACGTCCGCCGGGAAATCACGGTCGATTGTTCCGGCACCTACTGTGGTGACCCATGGCGCAACGTTGGTGACGGTGAGGCCTCTGGGGCCGCCGTTTCCGGCAGATGCAGAGACAAATATTCCGGCGTCGGAGGCCCCGAATGCAGCAATTGCAATTGCGTCAAGGTTGTATGGGACCACAACCCCTCCGACGCTCAGTGAGATGACGTCGACGCCGTCGGCGACGGCGGAGTCAAACGCGGCCAAGATATCAGCGTCGTAACAGCCTGTCAACCAGCAGACTTTGTACGCTGCCAGCCTAGCCTTCGGCGCCATCCCGGCGGCTAATCCGCGGGCGTATCCGAGTGCCGACGCCGGGAAAACGTACCTGCCGGCGGAAATAGACGCCGTGTGCGTTCCATGTCCATCGGAGTCTCTCGGAGATCGAGACTCCTTGGTCTCGTTCATTTTCCCATTCTTCGCTTCATACCCACCTGAAAAATACCTGGCTCCAATCAGCTTTCGATTGCATGAGCTCGCCGGAAAATCCCTCCCGGTAACGCACCTGCCCTTCCATTTGGCCGGCACGGGACCCAGATCTGCATCATCAAAACTCCTCCGCTCCGGCCAAATCCCAGAATCAATAACCCCAATCACGAGGTCCGACCCGAAATCCGATTCCTTCAGCAACCCGGCACTGTCCCTGTCCCTCGTCGTCAAGCCAAGAAACTCCGGCGACCGGGTCGTCTCCAATCGCCTAACCTGCTCCGGAATGACCGCAAGAATCCCCCGCAAAGACTCGAGCTTCTGAGCCTCCGAGCTAGACAATCTCGCAGAAAACCCATGAAAAACATTCCCGTAACTGTGTATAATCGGAACAGCCGCAACCCCATTATCGGCGCCGGAGAAAGAAGCAGAAACGGACCGGAGAGAAGACTCGTACCAGTGGTCGTGGGTCAGGAACACGGACGGCTTCGCGTCGTGCTGGACGTGGACGATGAAGGTTCTCCGTTCATCTCCGGTTGCGGAAATCGATGGAATTATAAGAAGTGAGGCAAAACAAGAAAGCAGAGCAGGAATGAGTGTAATAATGGGAGACGAAACCGCCATTAGCGCGATGAAACCATAGAGAAAGAGAAGAAAACGGGAAGCAAATAATGGGAGTGACAAAAATTGAACTCAGATGAGGCAGCACAGGTGTAATACTGTGCGTTCCACTGCACTCAGTCAGTCAACCACCGTAAATTATAAAAAAAATATTTTTTATTATAGGGTAAATTTAATATAATTAAACTCATTTTAAAATATAATTTTAATCTATCTTAATTTTTGAAACATTAAATTATTTGAAACTATATCTAATTTATAATAAAAATATTATAAGATTTAATAAAACACATCAAACTATAGTAATCTTTTCAAAACGAAAAAAGTGTTATTTTTTCGATTTATGCTACTCCCTAAATTATTATTTTTTAGTATTGTTGACTCTATTATAAAATACTTCTTCCGTCCCAAATTATAATGTATACTCACTATTTACATTGTCAAACTTTATTTACTTTTTTTTATTTTGGTAGCTCTTTTAATGTACTCCCTCTGTCCACCATAGATCTTCCCAGATACTATTCACGGTGTCAAACTTTACTCACTTTGTTTGCTCAATTTTACTAGTCATTTCATAAAATAATATAGTCTTGTCACCTCTAGTTTTGTAGAACTTTTCATGTAGTTTATTACTATATAAATTTTATTTTAAAATTTTACTTCTATAATCAATTAAATTGAATTTAAAATAAAATCGGTCAAACCTCGTAACGCGTAATGGGAAGATCATACATGGATGGAGGGAGTAATACTTTTATATGTAATTTTTATTTTTTAATCATATACCATTTATCATATAAAATGATTTGAAGTACTACTCGTAAATTAATGTAACAATCCACCCTACATTATTACTCGTAACTGCACTTAATGAACATTTTAAACAAGATAATCACGACCCACAAATGTCCATGAAACAGCCATTATACATGAGACATGAGTAGTGTTAACTTAAAAAAAAAGCATCCTATGATAAACTCAAATGAAGCCCGTGAGCATTTAACACTGCGTTTTAGTATTACTCCACGTGCCGCGTCGCTCACATTACCAAAAGTTACAATTCACATTTAGAAAAAGAACAAATCAAGATTTCATGCTTTGGGGTAGGGCCCCCCTCTCGATGGGTACTTTGCATGAATTTGGAACTGTAAAATCTACGCTCTTTGTATTCGCGCAGATTTTACAGCCTCAAATTCATACGAATTATACTCGCAAAAAATGATTTTGTGATAACATATGTACTAATACTACTACTACTATTACAAGTACAACATTTTGTTTGTTCCCTTCACATGTCAAGCTTCTCACTCTCTTGCTTATAATTTCCTACTAACCATATTTCTATTCCTCTCCCCAAGCACACCTTGAAGATAGATACACATTGCCCACATTTGCCTGCTCATAATAAGGGCAGGTCTAACAAGAAAAGTTAACTACTATGTAGAAGGGAGGGGCAAAAATGTAAACGACAAAAAAAAATTGATGATCAGGATTAGTAGTAGTAGTAATAAGAACCCCGGAAAACGGATTGCCGTGTTAAGCCTGCTGCCTGCCTCCTCAAGAATAGCCGTTTGTACTTCTCTGAATTTTCTTCTTGAATTTGGTAATGCTGCACTGAGGACATATGTACTCTAGTCCATCTGTCTTTGCATAATCCTGCAACGTGATGTTCATTGTTTTTTTTTATTTTCCCAAATAACCTCCACGGGGCCCACATGCAAACCCGACCCCCCCTTCCCCCCGTGGGAGGGTGAGACTAATAGAAATGGTGCGTATTGTTAAGACGATTACCTTGAAGGCGCCAAGACCAGGCCTTCTATCACAACCAAAGTGGGCCCATTCGCCGCACATCCCACAATTCACCCAATCACCAGCAGCACTACTGTAAAACAGATTCAAGATTGGGTGCTAGTGTTAAAGTAAGGTATATTCAAATCTAGAATATATAAGCTTTACTCAATAAGCTCTCTTTTTTAAAAAAATAAAGATAGCTCATGACGTGCCAAACGTGGCCTAATGAAGCAAGTTCGAATTGGATTTTGACCTGTGGCACAACAAGCAGCATTCCCCATCAACATCATCATGTGCCAGTTCATACTCCAACAGGTATGTCTCATAATGCCTTTTAAGTGTGTTCCCAACACCCTGTTTAAGAAATCATCCAAAGGGAAATTTCAGTGTCAAACTAAATGGCTTCCGGGCATTAGATTTCCGAAGTCATTTTCCCATTTTTTTGGTGTTTGGCTGCTTCGGCAAATTACGAATCAACAAAAAATAATTTACGTAGTATGTTATAACTTTCATTTTTCAAAATTTCAACTAAACACCAGAAAAAAAATGTTTTTGAGAAGTCATATTCTATCTTTCCAAATGGACCCGCCCAAAAAATCACTATGTTTTTCGGGACAAAGATATGATCAAAGACACGAACTTTTTTAAGGACATAGAGAGTAATAGATTTCATCAATTTCTGTTATTTCCTTATTGCGCAAAAACAAGAGAGAGAGAGAGAGAGAGAGAGAGAGGAGTGAGTGGCTTACGGTCATTCTATTTGTTATAGTGTGATTGCGCATTTTGGAGAAAACTTGCCCTTTCCAGTTGATGCCATTCCCAACATGAAAACCACCTCTAGACACCACCTGATGGCATGCACTCCGGTTAGAGTAAAATAAACAATTATTTGCTAGTAGTAAATATATGATTATAAAAGGAAGCAAAGAAAATTCTTCCACTCAACAACGAAAGTAAGGATCCCACCCACCTCCCTGTACAAGTTGAATAGGTCGAGACGTTTGGCATTGAGTATAGCTTCGGGAAACTCGGCAAGTCCCCCTTGAGGAATGAGGCGCGTATGGCCACGGAGTAAAAGAAACTGCATCACATCCTTAAGGAATTCTTCCTGCAACAAAGTCAATTAGAGAAAAAAATCAAGGCTTTAGAACCCTAATCCACTTGTTTGGTTGGTTTTTTGTTTTTGGGTGTGTGTGTGTGGGGGGGGGGGGTATACTTACATTTAGAGGATCCGAAAGTGAGATGCAAATTTATAAAGAAAACATGATCTAACTAAACATATCCTAACTTCGTCTCCTAAAAAATGTTTTGTTTCATCAAGGTACAACTTTTAAAATCTAGTTTTATACGGAGTACTAACAAAAAATAATAATATGTGAAATAAAAATCAAGAGTTCACGTGATGTTAAAAGCTGAAGTAATAAAAAAAAGAACAATTTTTTTACCTCAGAGCAGACAAGTATGGGGCTTCTACCACATTCGTGCTTCTTCAGAGGAAGGGGATTCAAAGAGATAATTTGCTTCGCTTGATTTGAGCTTGGCAATGATTTCCGTTGACTAAGAGAATTAACCCCAACGTTACAGGCCTTTGTTGAAGAAACATTGGGCATATTATATTTAACAAACTGGGTCCCGTCATTACGAGCCTCCACCTCCGAAATTCCAGCAGAGAAGGGAACCAGTTTTTGGTGATGGAGATGAGGAACGGGTCTCATTGCCGCAACTTTCACCTTCTTTCTGGTGGGTCCAACAGGCACGAAAAGCCCATTCTCCTTTTCCTCTTCATTCTTTAGGCCGGATTCTTGGTACATTGAAGAAGACCTCTTTCTGGTAGGAGGAGGCGGTCTTAACCAGATTGGGGGCGTGATGGTTATATTGTTAAAACTAACTCTAGAACGGAGATCCTTCCCAGGGGCTTCCTTGCAAAAGAAAAGGATTCTTTCTGCATCCTCTTTCTCAAATGTGGCAACAGCTACTCCCTGAAGGCTTGCAATGCCAAGTGCTACTAAGCTACGGTATGAAAAATCCGGTGCCAGTTGCCTAAGAACCTGTAAGAGGTTAATACAACCAAGAGGAAGTAAATAACACTAGTACAGCAAACCCAGTAGAATCCCATAGCATAGTCCGAGAAAAAAGACAAATACCTATACTCTCTCTGTCCCAGAAAAAAAGTCCAGCATGACAAAAAATCATATATCCCAAAGAAGTCCCATTCTTTACAAAGGACTCATATTTCATGTAGTTTCAAAGAGAGAGAAAAAACTTCCATGACTTAGTGCAACTAAGAATTTCCAGTAAAGCTTGAAATGCTGGCCATTTAAATGAAAAATATATATAAGAAAAGCATAGAATTAGAACCTGTGAAGCCCATGTAGGAACCTTCATCCACACTTCAAAAGTTGCTGCACTACAAGCTATTGAAACAGATCTTCGGGGTTCAGATAAAGGAATCTGTCTTTCTTCACCACACCGCACGGCTTGCACCAGTCGGGTGTTTTCAATTATTTCTCTTTTTATGTGATTCTCCAAAAGCTGAATAAAATTCCCACAGCACGGAGCACGAATGACAAAATAAGAATATTGCAAACATTTTTGTAAGTATTTTTTGTTTCTTTTTTAAAATAAGCAACAATAGGATTACCTGATCATCAAAGCATGTTTGAGCACTGCCCGACACTAGAAGAGAAATATGAGCAGAACTACTGGTTGATAGATCGCAACGCATAGTCACCACTCCACGAGAAAATGTACTTGCCTCTAGTGGTGGTGGAAGGGCACTGTAATCATGTTTAGCAGCTATATTAGGATTAAAGAGATCACAAAATTTTATCGTGTTCTAAGTAGATGATTCAACAGCTTTCTTGTTCAAAAACAATTCCCATTCCATAAATTTGCCAAGAAAAAAAAAGGTTACAGGGAAGTTGCATATGATAAATTCATTCAAAAAATATACGTAGGACACAACATTGCCAAAACTAAAAATTCAAACATTGATCAAGCAGGACTCTTTTTTGGTAGTACCAAAAATCATTGAAGTGATTGAACTCAGCCCCCAATATAAAATCCCCGTTTCTCCTTATGTCAAAATATCAAATTGGAAACTTAAAAGTTGGAAAATAGGTAATGGTAGAAATTATGAAAAGGAAACTCATTGCGATGAACACCCAACCTCTCCCATGAAACTTTATAATTAAATTACTGAGTTTTACCTGGCCCTATTATGGAGCTTGCTACCCCGCATCTGGAAACAGACAAGAGAAAAATAAATTGAATAAATAAGTTAAATTAGCGTTAAAAGAGAAACCTGATGATGCAAAAAATATAATGATATTTGTACTCACTTCTATGCTTAAAAGGGCATTGAGGCCATCCTCTAGTGAATCCAGCAGACAAGTATCCTGAATAAAATGAGCTGATTTATGCACATATGTAATGGAAAACAAAAGCAAGAAAAATGATATATTCCTCTTACCAATAACTGTGCTGTTCCACAAACAAGAAACCTCATATTCACATCATCATCATATATTTTGATGGAAGAAAGAAGTCCAAGGGAACTTTCTCCGTCATCTTCATCACCTGGCTCTGGTGAAGGAACATCAATCTTCGGAGGTTCTCCAAGGATCTGAGGGACCATCATACCGCCACTCATTTGACTATTATCAGGGAGAAGAATGTTGTTGTGTGAACAATATAGCCTATATGAAGCATTTGCTAGTTGGAATGCATCCCAAGTGTGACAAGGTGAGCTGCAGGAGGCGAAAAATAGAAACAACAAGCTGAACACAAAGGGTGCGTTTGGAAACTGGGAAATGCAATGGGAAAATAGGAATGATAGTTGGAGGAGAAATGTGGAAGGAAATAAGTTTTGGGGAAAAAATAGAAAATTGGTACTCAAACACATCAAATTAAAAAATTAGTTCACTCATTTTCTTTACACATTTCTATCATATGATCACTAGGAAATAAAAATACACACATGTTATATGTATGTGTGTGTGTGTGTATTTATATATAATCAAAATTGATTTTCCTCTCTAGTTTCAAAGGCAAAATTAAAATTGGAAAAAGAATCATGGTCCTTGGCACTTATTTTCCTTCCCTACCATTTTCCAAGCACATAAACAAAAGATTACCTCTGTACAACTGAAAACAATGCATGGCGAAAATGGCAAGCAGCATAACGGAAAAACACGTTCTTCCAATATATCACATAAGGAATTCCCTGTAAAGAAGTATGCATTGTAAGGAATTCCCTGTAAGGAAGTATGCAGTGTATAGAACTAAAATAGTGTTTGGTGTTACCTTTGAGTGAAGAGCCTCGGCCAATCCTTCTCCTTCTGGGAGCTCCAAGTAAACCTGGAGAATTTGTGATA